TGTGAGGAACAAGAGGCCGGGGTGGGGACTGGGGGGGGGGGGGCTTAGGGAAGGGCATCTCACTCCCTGCAAGCTGATCTTCCCTCAGCCCTACCAATGCTGATCATCTAGTGCTGAGAATATTATATAAAGCAAACCTACTTTGCATGATATAAGGTGCCCTGTACGGCAAGAATACGCCTGTATAATGCTTATACTGCTAATGATGGCATTAAAAAAAGTGCATGTCTGATGAAGGGACCCTGAGTGGCCCCCGAAACGTTGCTTTATGATGAGATGTGTGTACATCAAAAAAATGACCACTCGTTAAAGATATTACTTTGGTGTGCTGGTGATATATTTTACTACTTGCTGGGAATATTAGTCCCACAACTTTTATAAACCAAAAACATTATAGAACAACCTAATCGTTGCACGCTGCTGGAAAATGTAAATGCCAAAATGTTTCATAGCTACAGGATGCCTATATAATACCCGTATCACTAAGTACACTCACTCTAAAGTCACAGTACCACAATACAACACTCGCCTTGCAAACCACAAGGAAGTGCATAACACTCATTTAATGAGCAGACATTTTTAGCAATGCATGATGGTAATCGTAGTCCTAAAACAGTTGCAGAGATAGCATAATCACAATGAAAGTTGCAGCATTACCTGATTTGGGATAGGTCACAATGACCACATCTCCTTCCTTAAAGTGGAAGTCCTGGGCATACTGAAGGGACTCAGGGGTGTGCAGATGTCCGGGCAGCTGGATGCCAGCACATACTTCAGTCACAGACATCCTCTCCATGCCAGATCGCTCAGGAACTGCTCACAGCTGTGCGATGAAGCCTCAAGCACTGTGTACAAATGGAGGAAGCTGAAGATTGCTGGCCAATGGGAAGTGATGAGGCGCCTTGTGCTTCCTCTTGAGAAGTTAATTCATCGAAAACCTGCAGATTTGCAAGAAAAATCAGCAAATGTGTATATACAAGAGTTAGCAATCTAGTGCAAACACCACCTAACAATACAAACCAGCCTTGGAAAACTACAAAAAAGATTATAAAAGAAAGAGGTCACTACCTGCAAGGAGTTTGCATGTTCTCCCTGTGCTTGTGTGGGATTCCCCCGGGTACTCCGACCGGTTTTCTCCCACACGCCAAAGACATGCTGGAAGGTTAATTGGCTCCTCTCTAAATTGGCCCTGTATGTATGCATGTGAGATAGGGACCTTAGATTGTAAGCTCCTGGAGGGAAGGGAGTGATGTGAATGTGCAGCTATGTAAAGCGTTGTGCAAATTGTTGGCGCTATAGCAATACCTGTAATAAATAAATATATATATATAATAAGCTGACAACAGGAATAAAAGCTAGTTCTGATTTCCAGGGTGGCTCCGGTCTCCAGAGATAGAAATGCTTCGGGAACATAACACCGATCAGCAAAAAGAACTTTTTGTTTGGAAGGTGAAGCTGACTATAGAAACAGAGAGGAGTGACGGCAGAAAAAGACCAAATAGTCCGGCGACACTTTGTTTTATTTATTTATTTTTGTTTTTTGATCTTTTTGTGTCAGTGTAGATTTCACACACAAAGGTTAAAAAAACAAATGAAAATGAATAAATAAATTGAACAGACTTCAGTCAGCTTTTTCTGTTTATCCGTGTTCATTTCCAGAGCATTTCAAGGGACAAACATTTCTGCAAACCAGATGGACCCTGGAAATCAGAACTAGCTTTTTATTCCAGACTACAATCACAATCTGATTGTACAATCTACTTTAGGTCTTCCAACAGGTATGTAGGATGTAGAGCAGACAGAGGGGTGCAGTGGGGTGTGGAGCAGACAGAGGGGTGTACAGTGCGGTGTGGAGCAGACAGAGGGGTGCACGGTGGGGTGTGGAGCAGACAGAGGGGTGTACAGTGGGGTGTGGAGCAGACAGAGGGGTGCACAGTGAGGTGTGGAGCAGACAGTGGGGTGTACGGTGGGGTGTGGAGCAGACAGAGAGGTACACAGTGGGGTGTGGAGCAGACAGATGGGTACAGAGTGGGGTGTAGACGAGACAGAGGGGCACAGAGTGGGGTGTAGACGAGACAGAGGGGTGCACAGTGGGGTGTGGAGCAGACACAGGGTTGTACAGTGGGGTGTAGAGCAGACAGAGGGACACAGAGTGGGGTGTAGACGAGACAGAGGGGCACAGAGTGGGGTGTGGAGCAGACAGAGGAACACAGAGTGGGGTGTGGAGCAGACAAAGGGGGACAGAGTGGGGTGTGGAGCAGACAGAGGAACACAGAGTGGGGTGTGGAGCAGACAAAGGGGGACAGAGTGGGGTGTGGAGCAGACAGAGGGGGACAGAGTGGGGTGTGGAGCAGACAGAGGGACACAGAGTGGGGTTGTGGAGCAGACAGAGGGACACAGAGTGGGGTGTGGAGCAGACACAAGGGTGTACAGTGGGGTGTAGAGCAGACAGAGGGTTGTATAGTGGGGTGTGGAGCAGACAGAGGGGTGCAGACAGGGACTGCCATAGCAGGAGCATGATGAATATGTGCAGTGTGTGTCATACATGAAGTCCGGCGGTGACAGGGTGAGTGTCAGTCGTTATGAAGCGTTAGTATTATTCAGCAAAGTATTTTTAGCAGTGGCCAGGACATTTTCCGTGTGGCGGATCACGTGCAGCAAAGCTCACAGACAGCGCTCAGTGCTGTGACTAAACCTTCCTGGATATTACATTTCTCATACACATTAAGAGGACCTGTCTACTGTCAATGGACCTGTATTAGACGTGATGACATCAGCAGTCCTTAGACCACCGGAGCCCGGGGGAGAAAGGGCTGCAGAGACCGGTCCAGCAGCCAGGCAGGACTGAGGATCAGGTAAGTATTTCTGCTTTATTTGAGCCCTCTGGATATAATGAGGACGTGACCCTTGCAGTGCCGGGGTAGCCCTAATGCAAAGGTACGTTTTTATTTGCCCGGAGTTCTTCTTTAAAAGGCCATTAAAGAGGAGTTCACAGTCAGGGTTGGCAAACACATTAAAGGAAGCCGTGGTGCTACTAGAGCGTTATTATACAGGGGACGTTCACTCAAGGTTTATAGCACCCCATTGTGTCTGGGGAAGAGAGGGGGGCACACTGTAGCTGGATATAATTCAGCTTCCACCCGTCCTCCACTGATATGACATCATTTTCTGCCCCAGAAAACGGCGAGGCTTCTTGTATGCGATCCAGTGCATTCCGGACGCAAACTGCACCAGGACGCATTGGATATGGTGTGACTGGGCCCAAAACAAAATACTGCTTGTCTCATTTTCTCTGGCCTGGAATACACTGGAACGCATGGAAAGGCATCAAAAACACATACAAATGCACTGGACTGCACCTGAAAGCCAATTTTAAGCTAAAAAAACTGCAGCAGAAATGCACAGCACTGCGTTTGCAGATCTGTTCCAGATCCAGTCCGGACATGGCGTGAACACAGCCTAAGCTGATATGTATTCAGTCATCTGGAAAATGTTCCATTTGCAGTGCTAACAGCGCCCCCTGCTGGTGTACAGAGAGGAGATCAGAGGGAAATGAGGTGAAGAGAATACATAGACTTACAGCAGAGTGGAGGTTGGAGTTCTTTAGGGGACACAAGAAAATAATTCAGTGATGCATAAAGGGTGATACTGCAGAGAATCTGCTAACAGAACTTTCTGTAGAAATGTATAACATTGTGCACAAAAAATGGATGGAGAATAAATAAACCAATTCCTCACCCTGAAGCGTTCTTAGGCAGGCGGGATACAAGTGATCACTTTCTTGCCTTGTTCATCTCTCAGGAATTTGCTGGTCCTAGAAAGCTTCACCTCCCACTTCCCTTTTACTTAGTGGGGGGTGGGGGGGATTTAAAGAACCAGTGAAAGAAAGGCATGAATCAAAAACTCCAAATAAAGTGAGTTCCATACTAGTAATTTAATAAGTAAATGAATATAAAATCTCCAACATTAGCATTGGGAATGGGGCAGACTGGGTATGAAATTAAATTAGCAGTGTGCAGATCAGTGATGAGCCAATCGTAGAAAATCCAAAGCAACATCATGTGGATTCATCTTCATAGAATGAGCAGAACAGTTTCTATGAGCTGGGATTCACTTTGGGTTACTTTGGATCGGGTCGAAATGCAGCAAGCAGATTTTTTTCTTGCAGAATGCCAATTTTTCCTGGGATTATTATTATACAGGATTTATACGGCGCCAACAGTTTGCGCAGCGCTTTACAATATAAGGAAGACATTACAATCACAATACAATTCAAGACAAGATGGTAAGGAGGGCCCGGCCCCTGAGGGCTTACAAACTAAAAGGGAGGGGGAAGTGGTACATGAGGAGGTAGCTGTGTGGGGATGAATTGTTTGAGAATGTGATGGTTCAGTGGTTAGGTTGAGGTGGGATAGGCTTCCCTGAAGAGATGAGTCTTAAGGGAACGCCTAAAGGCATTCAAGGTGGGAGATAGACGGACAGGTTGGGGTAAAGAGTTCCAGAGGATGGGAGAGACTCTAGAGAAGTCCTGGAGGCGAGTATGGGAGGAGTTTACAAGGGAGCTGGAAAGCAGGAGGTCTTGGGATGAGCGGAGTGGACGGTTAGGGTGATATTTTGAGACAAGGTTTGAGATATGGCCAGGGGCGGAGTTGTGGATGGCTTTATAAGTGATTGTTAATATTTTGAATTTTATCCTTTGGGCGAGTGTTTTATATCATTATTGGTTCCCAACCACCAACAAAGAACGGCCAATGTGTTTCAGGGGTTCAGAGACATAGTTACATAGTTACATAGTATTTGAGGTTGAATAAAGACATCAGTCCATCAAGTCCAATCTATATAGGATCATCTCAGACCTCCTACTTCTTCGGGGCTTACACATAATGAGTAATAATAAGGACTCAAAGCCGACAAGACATTTGCTGATTCTTTGATCCTGCCCACTGCCTAATGTAAACATTGCATCAGGGAGTTTTTTTTGTTTTTGTATTTTAAAAATTGTGTTTCAAAAATGTCAATTTCAATTGTCGGCCGACGCTGGAATGACTTTGTGGGACATTTTTTTTAAATCTTTTTTAAATAAAGGAATTGTCAAAAATTTGTGCTTTGTTTTTTGTTCAATTACAGGAATTTTTTCAAAGGTGTTGTGTGTTTATGCCGATGGCATGTGGCCTGGTATGGTGGAGGGAGGGGGGCCGCTCGCTCCCCCCCCCCCCACCTTTCCTGCCCTGACAGTCTGCTGCCCGGAGGGTCTGGTATGTGATTTTAAGGGGGGTCCCCTTTTTCTTTTTTCTTATTTTTTACTTTTTTGGTGTTGGGATTCCCCCCTAAAATTCCTACCAGACCTAAAGGGTCTGGTATGAATTGCCGGGAAACAGCACACTGTTTTTTCTTTATTATTACATGGGGTCCCCCATAATATTCCTACCAGACCTAAAGTGTCTGGTAGGAATTAGGGGAGGACCCATACTTTTTTTTTTTAAATTATTATTATTATTTCTGTGAACAGTTAAACACTTTGGTGTATTCTGTGACAGCTGTCAGATTCTTTACATTGGGATGAAGTGTCCTCCAAGAAGCAGAAGCTGTTACAGAATAACACAGATCTCTCAGCTTTCATTATTTACATTTTGTAACAATATTCTGTTTCTTTGTTTTCATTTGATATACAAGTGCAGAGAGCGGTAAATGGCACACAGCTCTCCCGCTTGTTGTGTCTCGTTTCCGACTGAAATTTTGTTATCAAACATTCGGATTCTTTCAGATTCATTATTTCTCTCATTTGGAAATTCAGATGCATCCGAATGTCCGAATTTACAGAAATTTGTACGAATTTCAATTCGGAAC